AGAAAGCCAGTCAGGCCATGAATTTGTTTCTGCCCCGCCACGCTAGCTCTTCCGCAGGCCGCTCTCGCGAGCCTCCTGCCAGAGCTCCAACACAGCGCCCCCCTCCGCAGACTCAAACAGCCCAGCGCAGACAGGGCGGCCGCCCTCGCTCTCGCTCTGACAGCCGCCGCAGACCGCCGCCCCCACAGGGCCCGCGACCCAAGATCACGCTGAAGCCTGATCATCAGAAGTCTTCCTAGCAAAGTTAAGAAAACGACGGTGCTCTCCCGCTGCGGCCGGACCGCCGTCAAAGCTTCGCCCTCTGCCAGTCCCCGTTGTTTCGCCGACTGCTGTAGTGTTGACCGCCACAAACAAGCCGGTGTCCCAGCCCGCTTGCGAGCGACAAAAAGCCGTTTTTACGGCTACCCAGAGAAATCTCAAAAAGAGAAAATTTACCAGTTGTGTAGAAAATGTGCCCACAATCATGTGCTCACCCATACACACAAGCATAACATATCCCGTGTCTCTCTCAGAGCCCCATCACATGAAACGGGCACAGCCCGCTCTAATATCAGAGAACATAAACACGCCCACGAGCTCATGCGCGTGTCCCCTCTCTGCTCGCTCTGTTTCACGGCCCATAGACTCCTCTCTGAGTGCAAATCCCATTGCCACACACATTCAAAGCGCGCCCACACACGGTGTCCAGCCCGCTATGTGCAGCAATCAGGGCGATATAGCCATTCGGCCACTAGCCGCATGCTCCAAAGCGTGGGAAGCCATTCCAGGCATTTCCCCGTGGGTGCTAAGCATTATAAAGAACGGCTATCTGCTACAGTTTCGCCGCCGCCCGCCCCGCGCTCAGAACGATTTTAGATCTCAGGTCTTTGAACAAAGTGCTCATGAAGAGACCGTTCAAAATGCTCACTACCAGGAAACTCCTCGCGCAGGTGCGCCAGGGGGACTGGTTCATCTCTCTAGACCTGAAAGACGGCTATTTTCAGATCCAGATAAAACCCCGTCACAGGCCATTCTTACGTTTCGCCTTCGAGGGTCATGTTTATCAATACGCCGTTCTCCCGTTCGGCTTATCCCTGGCGCCCCGTACATTCACGAAGTGCATGGATACGGCGCTCGCCCCCCTGCGGAGTCAGGGGCTGCGCATATTGAATTATCTGGACGACTGGCTGATTTTGGCCCAATCACAGACGGAGCTTCTGTCGCACCGCGCAGTTCTCCTCGACCATCTGAAAACGCTGGGCCTCTCTGTCAACTGGACAAAGAGCTCCCTTCAACCCAGTCAATCGATTTCCTTTCTAGGAATAGATTTGAACTCGGTCACGATGTCGGCTCGCCTGTCCACACAGCTCGCGCGCAGTGTTCAGCGACTAGCCGCCTCGTTTCAGATGGGCACCCGCACACCTCTGAAAACCTTTCAGAGGATGCTGGGTTACATGGCTTCAGCCTCCGCTGTGCTTCAGCTGGGCCTTCTGCACATGCGCCCGCTTCAGCTTTGGTTAAACAGCCGTGTACCCCACCGCGCGTGGAACACGGGCCGCCAGCTGATCAGGATTACGCAGACATGTCTCACGGCGCTGCAGCCATGGACAGTAGCAGAATGGTTTCGGCAGGGCGTCACGATGGGGACCTTTTCCCGCCGAAAAGTCATCTCGACAGATGCATCCAACACGGGTTGGGGTGCAGTCTGTGAGGGCTCACCGGCCTTCGGCCATTGGTCGACACAGGAAAGCCCCTTACACATAAACTGTCTGGAAATGCTTGCGGTCGAGAACGCGCTCTCGCGCTTCCTCCCGCTCATTCGGAGACACCACGTCCTGATCCGTTCGGACAACATGGCTGTGGTCTCCTATCTCAACCGTCAGGGCGGTGTCAGATCCAGGAATCTCTTCCTACTGACACACCGCATTTTAGTTTGGTCTCAGAGCCGCCTGCTCTCGCTCAGAGCGACGCATGTGCCGGGCCATCTGAACGACGGTCCAGACATACTGTCCAGGAACCTCATCTCCTCAGGAGAATGGTCCCTGAACACACAAACGGTCCAAATACTGTGGCGGCAATTCGGCAGAGCAGAAGTGGACCTCTTCGCGTCAGGAGAGAAAGCTCACTGCCCAATATTTTTCTCAAGGAGCGAGGACGCGCTAGCCCAGGAATGGCCTCGCCGCCCGCTCTATGCATTCCCTCCGATCTCTCTGCTACCACAGGTAATTCAGAGGATCAGGGACTCACGCCACTCGGTGCTCCTCATAGCCCCGCGTTGGGAGAGTCAGAATTGGGTTCCGGAGCTCACTCAGCTGTCACAGACAGCCCCGTGGCCCATCCCAGTCAGAGCAGATCTCCTCTCTCAAGCTCGCGGCACGATCTGGCACCCCCATCCACGGCGCTGGGCGCTACATGCATGGGTGATCAACGACTAATCGTCGATTTGCCAGAGGGAGTAAGAAACACTATCATACAGGCTAGAGCACCTTCCACGAGAAGGCTCTATGCGTCTAAATGGTCTGTGTTCTCAAAATGGTGCACCGACAAACATCTGGACCCACGGTCATGCGAGGTGCCGTCTTTGCTTGTTTTCCTTCAAGAGATGCTGGACAAGGGCAGGTCCCCCTCCACTCTCAAGGTTTACGTGGCAGCCGTCGCGGCGTTCTCTGAACCCCGACGCGCTCAGTCCCTGGGCAAAGACGAGTTAGTCATCCGCTTCCTCAGAGGAGCTAAGAGGATGAACCCTCCGCGCCCCCCTTCGGTTCCTATCTGGGATCTTTCTATAGTTCTCGAAGCTATGAAAACACCCCCGTTCGAACTGCTCGAGTCTGTGGACCTAAAATACCTCTCGCTCAAAACCGTTTTTCTGACGGCTCTGTCCTCAGTAAAACGCGTGGGGGATCTTCACGCGCTCTCATCCAGCGCCGCGTGTCTTGAGTTTGGACCGAATGATTCTGTTGTCATTCTCAAACCTAGACATGGCTATGTCCCGAAGGCGATTGGTACCCCGTTCAGGGCTCAGATTATTTCCCTATCGGCTCTGCCTTCATCCGATAGTGAGCGCGATGCCAATCTCCTCTGCCCGGTGCGGGCTCTGAGATTGTACACTACGCGCGCTGCCTCGTTCAGACGCGCTGAGCAGCTTTTCGTGTCGTTTGGGGGGCGCACCAAAGGTCTGGCCGCCTCTAAACAGACACTGTCTAGATGGATAGTAGACGCTATCGCCTCTGCTTACGCATCTAAATGCCTGCCCTGCCCTCTGGGCATCAGGGCGCACTCCACTAGAGGCATGGCCTCATCGTGGGCATGGTCCTGTGGAATTTCCATTCATGACATTTGTGTGGCCGCGGGATGGGCCTCCCCGTCCACTTTTGTCAGATTTTACAACTTGGAAGTTCCCGCCTTGCAGGCAAAATTACTAGCTGTCTAACGACCAGCTCCCTAAGAAGCTGCATTACTGGGAGTCCCTCACACAACCGGTTCGCCCCTTGTGCTCTCCTTAAATGCTTATGTATACTGCCCTACAAAGGCTAAGAGCAGTATCAGCAAAAACGCCAAACTGAGAAAAACAGCTTTTTGTGTTTTTCTTACACCAAAATATAAGCATCCAATTAAATTAACAACAAAGGGTACAATTAGATAGATCAAAGGGAGGTGAATATTAAACATTTCGTTTTTTGACAGTCAGGCTAAATTTGACAGTTTTATAGGCTATACTGCGCTTTGCCTTTGCATTACTGCGTATACTTACATGGCCATACAATAACATAAAGCAGTAAGTGTAGTAAGTGATCATAATCACTTGCTTATCATAAATCATAAATCACCCAAACCTTTGCACACAGCGGCAGCAGCTGCTTATAGTTGTCAAAAGTACAGGATGTGTTAATTATAACCAAACTATTAAAATGGTATTAGACAAAATTGACAAAAAAAGGGGTTAAAACTTACCAGTTTTTGGTTCCTTGTTGTTTAAGGCAAGTTTCACCAGCATTTTTCCACGTAAAAGTGAAGCCGTTTTGACAGTTTCTTAGAGGTTTTATAGCATACAAAATTGTTTTATAGCATACATATACAGTATGTAAAGTGCTATAAAACAGTGCTATAAAACCTGACTCATGCCACACAAAGGCAAACTGCAGTATCATAGTGAAACCAAGGCAGACTGCTGCAGAACGGGCAGATACTGCATTCTGCCTTGGTTTCACTCTACTTTTCTATACAATACTGCAACTAAAAATGTACATTTATATAAGAAATTTATTAGGTAGCCATATGAAATTTTAACAGATTGTAGAGCAGATCCTGCACTTTTTATTTGTGCAAAAAATTTTTTTTTGAAAAATTGAAGATACTGCTCTTAGCCTTTGTAGGGCAGAATACATGTGCCCGCTCTGCCGGCTTCATACTACATTCACTCCACGTTAAAAATCCCCCGGTATCACCCTGGGATTCATGAGTGGATTCATAGCGCGCACGGCGTTGACCAGGTCTTCCCGCAGCGTAAGCTAGCTTACGCAATACGAGAGAACCTCTCGTAAGAGAACGAATCGGTTACCTAACGTAACCTCGGTTCTCTCTAGAAGAGGGAACGAGTATTGCGTTCCCGGCCGTGCTTGCGCTACTAGCGTTTCGCTTCACACTGAAATAAATCAACATATAAGCCTGGGAGAGACTGTTATATACACCATAGCCACGCCCATTCTGGCGGGCCATGACGCAATGAGCGCGCGGGCGCTTCTCATTGGAAGCGGGTTCAGCCCCGCTCTCCCATAGGCTTAAGCAGTTCTCTCTGAGCGAACCAATGAGCTGCTAGCTAGCCTGCTCTAGGTCTGCCGCAGAGGAACTGCGTTGTCAATGGATACAAATTATGAAATAATTTTTTGGCTTCAAACTCTCAGCAAAGATGAATCTTTCCCGCAACGTAAGCTAGCTTACGCAATACTCCTTCCCTCTTCTAGAGAGAACCGAGGTTACGTTAGGTAACCGATTCGTTCCCATGACAGTGACTGTCCGAACAGTGAGAAATGCTGCAGTAATGGATGTGGACATCAGTGTACAGCTCCATATACAGGTATTTTTATTTTATTAGTTATCAGCTTTTTTAAAAAAACTGCAGGAAGTTATTCAAACATTCACTGACATGTTGTTATACAAACACTTGACAGATAAACCAAAGCCAAGAGTGTGTCCAAATAAAACCCTTGGAGGAGTGTGTAAGGCGTCATGTTCCCATGACAGTGACTGTCCGAATGATGAGAAATGCTGCAGCAATCGATGTGGACATCAGTGTATGGCTCCATATATAGGTATTTATATTTTATTGTATTAGTGTGTGGGTCATCTTTATACAGAGCTCCTAAAGGGACATGGTGGTTTGGTGGTGGTGGGGTTATTTTCCAAAACCTTTGCTTTCGCTCGCAAGACCTGTTTAACGTCCCTGCTGGCAATCTTTCAAACGGCTCCGTACGTTAATAGTGAAGCGGTTCCATTGTTCAGTAAAATTGGCAATATATTCACAGATTTGAACTTCCCAGATCAATAACTCATGAGCTAAATGTTAACTCAAATGACACCTTGTTCCAATCATGGTAACATAGAAAAACGAGCTACAACCTAATATTCCTCAAAACGAGCTTTATAATAAATGGTTCTCTATGAGCAGGCAGCTGAGAGACCAGTCGGAAAGGACCGTCTTACCCGGAAAGACAGTCCCTTCGGATTTGTCTCTGTCGCCTACTCCTAGAGATAAAGTATTGATAAGGCTCATTTTGAGGAATTGGGTTGACGTGGAAAAAGTGTCGTGTGTTTTAACGTTTAGCTGGTGAATTTATTGATTCAGAAAGTTTAAACTGTAAATATATTGCCAACTTTACTGAACAATGGAGCCTTCACTGTTAACGTATGTATCAGTCTGAAACCCTGTTTGTCCGAACTCACAACAAATTGCGGGAGAATGCAAAGACACTTCTTTTTTTCTTTTTTTTTTCTGCCATGCCATATTTTTCTACCACCTTGCCCCTTTAGTATAGGGCCTCTGAAGATATATGTATGTGCAGTGTGTAATTCAACATTCACTGATATGACAGCGAAACCAAAGCCCGGAGTGTGTCCAAACAAAAACCCTGGAGTAGAAAGAATATGTTTTGAGTCGTGTTCCCATGACAGTGACTGTCTGAAAGATGAGAAATGCTGCAGCACTGGATGTGGACATCGGTGTACAGCTCCATATACAGGTAAAACTCACCCAGGCATCAGTAGAAAATGCATTGAATGAGACATTCAGCAATCAGTGATCTGGTTTCCCTGTGTTTTTTTAAAATAGCAAAGCCAGGAGTGTGTCCAGTCAAAACCCTTGGAGGAGTGTGTAAGGATTTGTGTGTCGATGACAGTGACTGTCCGAACACTGAGAAATGCTGCAGCAATAGATGTGGACATCAGTGTAGGGCTCCATCCATAGGTATTTATGTTAGTGTGTGGGTCAGCTTTTTCTTTCTTTTTTTAAATGCATCGAGGCATTCATTGATATAATGTTATGCAAACACAGATAAACCAAAGCCAGGAGTGTGTCCAAGCCCAATGGTTATGGTTGGGTGTACCAAGCCATGTTCCAATGACAGTGACTGTCCGGACAATGACAAATGCTGCAGGACTGAATGTGGACAATGTGGTATTTAAAAAAAAAAAAAAAAAAAAAAAAAAAAAAAAAAAAATTAATTAATGCCACCATAGCCTAATTTGTTTTATTTTATAGCCTAGTTTAATATATAATTTATAGCTACTTATTTTTCTTCTACTGAATACCGTTGAACTTAAAGGATTTGTTGTAGAGTGAGGGGTAAATGATCTAGGCTCTAGTGTTTGTAAATGTTTAGTATTTATTATATTGAGGATATTGCGTGAATGACGGGTGGTTGGGCAGATATTGTGTTTTGCGGTAGGTGGTATGCCATACGGAACCGTTGTCCACTGAAACTGCATATTAACGCACCAGTGGGGCTCGACAGCCTTAGTCAACGGGTTGGCGCGTATGGTTGGGTTGCGGAGAGATTGTGAGATAGTGGTTAGGTCTCAGCAGCAGGAGGGATGTAGAGGTCAGTAAGCTGGGCTGAGTAGAGTGGGGGACGGAGGGGGGTGACTCTGGGATGCCAGAGTCACTGTCGAGCCCTCTTGAGGTGTCGTGGGCTAGTCGGCGAAACACTGAGGACGGAAGGTGCCCACTTGAAGACCCTAGAGATGTCCCCTACTCGGCTCAATCCAGACGGTTGTCGTAATGGTCCTGTAGTTGCAGCCGTCGCGTGCGCTGACGCGCCAAGTACACTGCTGCCGTTAACGCCGGACAGAAGGGGAGTCACACCACCTTATGGAAAGAAGCGTAAATGGATGGGAGAAGCATAGTTTACTGTAAAGCTACGTCTTAGTTTTGCTTATCTTGGCGAAAGCCGAGTACAAATCAGCATGAAGTTTTAACATCTACTCTCGTGTAATGGAAATCATATAAATTAAGTTAAATGTTTCAAATTATGAGGTTAACAGATTTGAGTAAGATCAATTTCTCATTTAAGATAACTTCCGCCGTTATATTTAAGTGAGGATTGTTTTTAGCCGCCACATTTATCAACGTATGATCATTCATAAGATCTGATAGGCAGCATATAATGCTTGATTTCTGCACTCGTTTCTACGTTACATTGGCATTGAGTGATAAAATAGTTAAGACAAACATTTATTAAAGTATCTGAAACTAGTCCATATTTCAGTGACTTCAAGATTGTGCTGTGTTTCTGAAATTGAATGACACTAAATGCACAGACTAAAGCTCAATATTTGTATCCACGCAGTGACACCTGGTAAATGTTATGCACCTTTTATGTGCCGTCCGGATCTGGATTCATGATGGCCAATGTCCTGCCAGACAGAAGTGTTGCCCAACCTCCTGTGGCCATGCCTGCAGTTAACAGTGCTGATGATTTAACCATCGGAAAGAGTCCTCTGAGATTGTTTTTTGCATACTATACTTGAGGACTTTTACTTTTCACCAAATAAATCTGTTTAGAAAAACTTTCTTCTGTTTTTTTGTTGTTTTTTTTGTGTAAAAAAAAAAAAAAATTTTACAGAAGCTTAGCAGCAGAAGGGTTAGTTCACCCCAAAATGAAAGTTCTGTCAGTAATTACTCAACCTCATGTTGTTCCAACCCCGTAAGACTTTCGTTCATCTTCAAAACACAAATTAAGATATTTGATTAAATCTGAGAGCTGGATCACTCCTCCATAGGCTTTTAAGGGATTGAAAATCCAGAAATGATTCTGAGAATCAATAAAATCGGAGTAATGTGTGCCCTTCTGTTGGTTCCTGTTAATAGCCTGGCGGCTGCGTTTTGCACCTATTGAAGACGCTTCAGAGAAAATTGGTTAAAACAAGTAAAAAGAGAGTTACGATAATCTAAATGTGAAGAAATAAAAGCATGAATGATCATCTCCATGGTAGCTTTGGGCAGTAGGCCTATAGTTCTCAGTTTAGAGATATTTCTCAAATGATAAAAACAGTTTCTGACCAACTGTCTAGAATAACTATTCTGCTCTTGCTTTGACGGGTTAGCGTAGCAGATAGCTAACATAAGACCCATTAAATAAAGACCCAGGAAACCGGAGTAGAGAGAGGCCTTTAGTAAGGATCTTTCCAATTTTGTAAAACTGTAAAAACATAAGGCATTACAAACTGTCCATATATACATATCCATGAATATGCAACTCAAGTCTAACATATATAGCTATTCCATAAGAAAAATTAGCCATATAATGAGATCTGCAGGACTAATAAGCATTTAAGCTAACATTAACATGGATGTCTATGGAGAAATACTAATCACGATTAGCATCTATTAATACAACATACATATTAAGCTAAAACGGACAATACACAAAGAATATAGCAAAGTAGATATACTTTCTACAGAAATACTTACAGACTTAGACCTTCAAAAACTACCCAAGGCAAAATGAAAAGAGTAACTGCTGCATGACCTCTCAGTAGACCAGAGTCAGAAGCAAACAGGCAAAAACAACGGCAAGAGAGGAGGGACTAAATATGAGAACTCAAATGCAATACAACTTTTACACCACTAGATGTCTCTAAAGCAACACAAAGTGGGGGCAGAACACTCCCCGCCTGGTATTAAATAATACCACTATGTCCCTTTACTGAGAAGCAGCACAACGTCTGAAACAGGTCTTGAATACACCTTGGGAGTACCCTGTCTCATGATCTTCACATTGACTTTCCGAATCCTTCCATCACGGCTGGGGATGGTTTCCGCAATAACACCTGTGGGCCACTCATTCCTTTTAACTTGAGTGTCTTTAAGGAGTACCACGTCTCCAACTTGCAGGTTCGGTCTTTCTGATTTCCACTTCTTGCGGGGTTGGAGCGTCTCCAAGTACTCTTGCTTCCAGCGTCTCCAGAAAGTTTCAGCGAGGCTTTGGACTTGCCTCCATTGCTTGCTATAGAGATCTTTGAGATCCATGTTCCCCAGAGGAGCAGATACTGGGTCAATCTTCTGAGTGAGCAGCATAGCTGGTGTGAGAACAGATGGCATCGCTGGATCAGAGGAAACTGGAACTAGAGGTCTTGCGTTCATGATTGCCATGACTTCGGCCATGAGGGTCACAAGTACTTCATGAGAGAGGCGACAGTTCTCCTTCAACAACATGGCATCCAAAATGCGGCGTGCAACACCGATCATCCTCTCCCACACTCCACCCATGTGAGAGGAATGTGGAGGATTGAATGTCCAGGTGCAACTTTTTTCTTGCAGGTGAGCTTTCAACTCTGGATCTTCTGAGTTTATTTGCAGTTCTTTGCAAGCTCCAACAAAGTTTGTGCCCCTATCAGAACGGAGCAGTCTTACAGGACCTCTGATAGCGGTAAATCTCCTCAAAGCATTGATGAAGCTGGAGGTTGACATGGTCTCTACGACCTCAATATGCACCACTCGTGTACTCAGACAGGTGAACATAACTGCCCAGCGTTTGTTTTCTACCTGACCACCTCTGGTCCTGCGCAACGAGATGGTCCAAGGTCCGAAAACGTCAAGTCCAACATTCGTGAACGGAGGATCCATAGTGAATCTGTCCATAGGTAAGTCAGACATTTTTTGTTCTTCCAACTTTCCTCTTAATCTTTTGCAGATCACACATTTGTGAATCACACTTGACACCAATCTCTTACTTCCTGTTATCCACAGTCCAGCTGTTCGAACTGCACCTTCAGTGAAGTGTCGTCCTTGGTGAGCAACTTGTTCATGATAATGTCTTACCAGCAGAGTAGAGACATGATGGTTTTTTGGTAGAAGGATTGGATGCTTTTCTTCCCAGGACATGTCTGCTGACGATATTCGACCTCCAACTCTCAGCAAATCATTATCATCTATGATCGGATCCAAACTTCTGATTGAACTGTGTCTTGAGACTTCTTCACCCTTAGAGATGTTTTTAATTACCTCTTTAAAGAAGTCCTCTTGTACGCTTCTCATTATTATGAGTTTTGCTTGAGGAAGCTCACCCATTTTCTGTTTATGGTCTGTATTTTTGGAGTAGGCTCTGGCCTTTTGGATGAGCCTGGCTGTTGCACGGGTAAGTGCTTTCCAACTGGAGAATCTACCAAACCGATAAGAGCCGATACCTCCACCTGTAGTTTTTGTAGCATAGGTTGAAACTTGAGGGCGAATTTCTGCATCAGACTCTGGATGTAAAAGGTCAAATATCTCTGGCTGAGGAGAATCATCCGACTCAGGTTTTGTCAGAAAGGCTGGACCTGAAAACCAATTGGTGTCTTTTAGGAGAGCGGCTGGGACCGACCTGGATCCATGATCTGCCGGATTATGGCTGGTGCTGATATAGTGCCACTGATTAGGGTGTGATGATTTCCTGATTCTTGTCACTCTGTTTGCGACATATACATAGAAATTCCTGGATGTGTTATGAATGTAGCCAAGTACAATCCTGCTATCTGTGTAGAACTTGACTGTGTGAATCTCCACATCGATTTCATCCATTATCAGGTCTGCAAGCTCTGTTGCCAAGACAGCTGCACACAGCTCCAAACGAGGAACAGTGTGCGCAGGACGTGGAGCCAGCTTGGACTTCCCCATGATGAACCCGACATGACTGCGTCCTTCTGTATCAACTGCCTTAAGGTAGGCTACAGCTGATATAGCTAGAGTCGATGCATCTGCAAAGACACAAATTTCTCTGTGTACAGTGGCAAGCAGAGAAACAGAAAGGTAGGTCCTCTGGATCTGGAGTAGCTTAAGTTCCATCAGGGAATCTTTCCAGGCTTTCCACTGGATTATTTTGATGTCTGGTAGTTTAGTGTCCCAATCGTACTCTATGGAGATATCTCTCACCAGAGCCT